AGACCTTTCATAAGTAAAAATAAGACTTTATAAGACTTTTTATGGTCTTAAATTAAAAAAATCTAATTTAAGACTTTTTAAGACTTTTTAAGGATCCGCGGGAACCCTGGACAAATATGCATAATGAAAAGATGATACAAAGTTTAAAGGTGCAGTGTGTAATTTTTAGCGGCATCTAGTGGTGAGGTTGTGAATTGCAACCAACAGAAGTTACGGTGGCCGACAGGAAAAGAGATATCTTTACAAAGATAAATTAAGAAATTAGGTTTACTTAATTATTCAGTAAAATTATATGTTATTGCGAATATTACTTGTTTGTCAATTCGCTGACTTTAGCTATAGCTTCTTTTGCACGAAGAACAACATAGTAACGAAACACGTTTGTCCGTTTAGGGCCACCGTAGAAACATGTTGATGTAAGCGGACCCGCGGTGTGTGTAGACAGAAATGCCTCATTCTAAGGTAATAAAAACATAACGGTTCATTAAGTAAGGTCTTTATACACAACTGAAAACATAGTTATGTATATGATATTGCATTTCTGTCAACAGATCCTCCTAAATTTTGCACAAAGCATCTTTAATACCTTGGAAAATGGCATTTAATACTTTTTAAGGGCCTTAATTTTCTCTATATTGAAAATTAGAGAAAATTAAGTACTCAACTTAAGAATATCAACTACTTTTTTAAGACCCCACGGACACCCTGTCATATCCACTGACACAACGTGGACTGATGGAGAGGGACAGATCTGACTAATTTAAACTCGCAGTACGTAAACAGAGAAAGTCGACACCACTGATACATCTCCAGAAATCCCTGCTGGAGAAACCAACACCTCCTTAGTACATCAGACTCCGGGTGGTCTGCCACGTCCCACCTCCCCGAAACAGACGCCCACTCTATATTTACATGATGTGAAGACAGTGAGGCGTCCTGAGGTGTTGTCACTCAACATTTACGAGGGTCTGAAATAGCAGGGTCATCGTTGGCCAAAGCCAAACGTTTGCACACTGCAGATGCTGCGCAGGCACAGAGCCCATCCAATCCATTACCGGGGCGAGAGGACCCAAGTGAAGACTGCAGACCGTCAAACGCCGGGCTTACACAGCAATCCTAACAGACGGCGCGTTCACATCAATTCTGCCATGGCTCTGACGTGCACATACCTGGAGCGCGGCGAACATCATCATCTCTTCCTCGGTGCACTCGATTTCCTCCAGTAAGATGGCCCACTTGGCCTGTTCGTACAGCTGGTTCACCCTGATGGCGTCATACTGCAGGAGAGCGTTAGAAACACGACACCTTATGACATGCTCTATTCAGGAAACAGCACATGTGTGTAAAGCAGAGGTGGACAGTAACAAAGTACAGTTACTTGAGCACTGTACTTTTTGAGTAACTGTACTTTTTACTTTAAGATCAATACATTTGAAAGACAAATATCATATTTTTTTTACTCCACTACATTTCTGTCAAGGTCCCTGAGTAGACAGTAGTAACGTCAGTCACTAGGGGAGGATTTTGGTTGGGAATTAAAGTCGGGTTGACGTCAGAACTCGACTGATGTTGGTTTCTGACGTCAACCCGATTTTCCTTTTCAACCACAATACAACGTCTGTCCAACGTTGGAGATTCACGTACATCTGACATTGGATTCTGACATCAACCTAATTTTCATTTTCAACGTTGGGTTTGGTCTTCAAAATGCGAATTTTGTCATTGTTTTGGAGCACACTAGTTTCTAGATAACAGTAAGGCTAACATATTCATACTAAAAGCCAAGAAACTTTAAATAGGGCACTATTTTGAGGGAACAGCCATTTGGGTGTCCGAAACCATTGTGGACTCGTTCAATCTCATATTCAATCCCACCACTGGAACTGTGCTCTAGAGATAAATGTGATATTGATATGAGGCATAGATTCAGAGGGATAAGATACTGTAGGTATTACAATACAACAATAATAAAACAATGCATTGACATTTACCTTTTACTTTTGATACTTAAGTACTTTTAAAAACGAGTAATTATGTACTTTTACTCAAGTAAAAATCAGTCTTTACAACTTTTACTTGTAACGGAGTAAGATTTGACCAGTAGTATCTGTGCCTTTCACTCAAGTAAGGAAGTTGTGTACTTTGTGCTGTACCGATACTAAAATGTGACGTGAAAACACTGCAGATCACTGATTGGTCAAGTCAAGTCATCCTCATTTATATAGCGCTTTTAACAACGTAGATTGTTTCAAAGCAGCTTTACAGAGATAAACATATCATTTAAGGTAACACAGATTGGTTTGGTTTTATAGCGGTTCTTGAATAATGTTATTTTCCAGCTAAAGTTAGTTTTGATTGATTCACTTTCGTAGAAATGATCATTTGTTATTAAATTAGGGGCCGCTAAGACGACGGCGTTCTCTCTAAACAGACTTTAAACTGAACCTGTGATAAACACTGATGGCGTTCACATGCGCATTAAGAACTGATTCTATAGTTATGTGCGTTTGAATATATGTGCGCAGGTTTGTAATTCCCTACAAACCATGCCTAAACAAACTACTTGTCTTGCCTATAAATTTTGATACAGAATTTTATTTTATTGGATCACTTTGAATGGTACGTGAACCGTAATTTCCACAACGCTTTAAATTGGTCAGAGAGAATCGTCACTATACCAGCGTCGTTGGATTTGCAACACGAGACACCAAACCCGCTAGATTTAAATACAGGGTACCCCCAGGATCCTCCAAGTTAAATTCAAGGCTTTTTAAGACCTTTTTAATACCATTTCAAATGAAATTCAATGCCAACTTCGTACCCATTCCGACAGAAGTATGAGGGGAAAATGTCAAATCTGTATACATTTTAAACCCTAGAAAATAATTATGTACAAGGAAGCTACTTGACTGATAATTTAAGTAAAATGTTTTATTTAATTCATTTAATACATACGCAACAGCATTGTAGCGCGCACGTGTATGTAGGCCAGTGTAATTTTGGCAGCCATTTTTTATTTAGTCTTAAGACGAAAATGTTTATTGGTCTTAATCACATTTGAGTCATCCAGTTTTTTATAGTTGTAGTTGACGAAAATTCTTTGCATTTTTTGTCCACTTTTAGTCAAACTGCCGTTACTTTACTTTTGGTAGTTATTTTATATGTATTCTTTAGACAGAAAATGTCATAATAATTATTCTCTCTAGGCCAATTCAATTAGGCTTATGAGAAATTATTGACATTGCACGACTTTAGCAGTAGCACTTGTGCAGTTCTACATAATTATCCCTTTTTTTTTTACCTTTGTAATACCTTAAAAAAATGACAGAAATAATGCTTTAAATAAAACAATGTTCATTAAATTTGCAATGTTAAAAAACATTAAAATCGCCAGTAGGCCACTTAACTGTAGGTAACTCCCTATCTTTATGAGTGAGTCTTTGAGTCATTCAGTAATTGGATCTCACGATTCGTTCAAAGCCACATATTTCGTTGCAAAACAGAGCAATAAGCCTGACAATGCTGTTTTAAATGTAGTACATCACTTAATGTTACCCTTTTTTTCTTTTCTTTTTTACTGTTGTATAAAATCAATGTCACATTTGAAATCGTGTGGATATTCGGGAAACATTGCATTCTTGCTCGTATGAACACTGGTGGATATATCAGCCTGCATTTTGATCGCAGATTTAGTCGCACAAACAGCGCAAGCGGCTCGTGACAGAACACAGACCGACTGGATGACACTTTAATTCAAGTAGGCTACAACATTTTAAATAAAGATCGCTGAATGCCAACTGTTGCCAACCAGCTTGTCTGTGTTTTCAGATAATCCGCGCTTCAGCAGTGTAGAGAGAGAGCGTGCGCATGGTTGCCAGATACTATTGAAAAGACCGGGTAGAAAATATGTTCTTTTAACAGAAAAGCTCGTATTTGGGGTTTAAATTCTGTCATTTGTGGCCACAGCGGATTAAACTAGGCTAGGTACTATCTTGTTCTGTACCTCACTTGCCTAGTAACCATAGTAACGGGTGCGCACGCGATCGCTTTTTCTGCTATGACGTGGAGCGCGAGGTGCACTCAACCAAACTCAACGTTGCATACATTTTGAATTAGCCTACATTAGTAACAGTTAATTTAGTTACGGTATGAACTTAATCCTAGCAAAGGCAAAAACATAAATAAGACCTTTGTAACGAAATCCAAGACTTGGTATACAAAATTCAAGGCTTTTAAGGCCTTAATTTGAGATGATCAAATTCAAGACTTTTTCAAGGCTTTTAAGACCCGCGGGTACCCTGAAATAGTCAGCAACGATATTATTTGATCGCACTATTTTTATTAAACGACTTGCTTGAAAAAATAAATAATAAATTTTACTTGAAAAAAGTAATGTATGAATCGTAGTGACTGGTCAGTAGACGAGGTGGAAATTGGATATTGCGACCAGGAATGAAAAAGTGTTTCAGCAACAAAAACAATCAGTCTATAATGACACCCACTTTGAAGCGATGCTAAACTGCAGTGGAAAAGCAAAGCGAGCCGAGTCGAGCCGTGCGGTGGAGAAGCGTCATACGTGAACAACTTTCTGCTACACCTAACAATGGCAATGAAAATGTTTTGGCTAAAACAGGCAGTTATGACACCCGTGAAAATTCACAATTCTCTTTTATTACTACAGCTAAAACTTCTAGCCTAACTCATATACATTTAAAACATTATTAAAGACAATTAAACAGTCAGTAATAAAATAAAAACAAGCAAATTACAAGCAAAAGCACAAATAATTACAATATAACAAGTGCTTTTCAGGTTTTCTGGTTGGTCTAACTGTAGTTTTCAGGAACCGGTCGCACCAGCTTAGCCTAGTTTTGACGTAAATGGGCACTAAGATACAACTTATGCACTACTAAACATCTCATGACATGCTCTATTCAGGAAACACGGCACATATATGTGAACAGGGCCTAAAACTAACTTTTTGCCACACCTGCCAATGGCCGGTGACTTTAGAAAATTTACCAACATAAATATTTTTTACCGGCCATGAAATAAACAGTGCTTTTCAGGTTTTTTTTTGGTAGGTCTGAAAGTAGTTTTCATGTAATAAAGTAAGCAAATGTAAAATAACACTACATAGTCTTCACTGTATAATATAAACATCCTTATAAAAGTTATTCAGTCAAGACCAGTGAGTGATTTTTTCTTTGTCTTTTGTTGTTTGATTAACATAAAAACAGGCAGGAATATTAGGCTGCTGTCACTTTAAGAGCGAATGCACGGATCTAATAGTGATACTGAACACATGCATTTACTTTCTTAATGGTTTACGCTCATTTGAGACAACCGACTATGTTTACTAGGATACTCGCTATTTAATTACACAATTGCGTGTGAATTTGTCCGCTCAAGTGTAAGACGACATGATAAAAACCCAGTTTAATATTCGTGCAATGTCATTGTTAGAAATCATAAAAATGTTACCAGCCAACTGGTGACCGTTTCATATACTTGCCAACACTATACTTTTACTCGCATTTGGCGTTTGGCGAATTTTAGGCCCTGTGTGTGAATAAAAGCCTCAATTAAACCTGTTCATCATGCAAAGTGATGTCTCTTCTGAAGACTTGGATTAAAGCACTCAATTCATATGGGTTTATTTTTACAGTCTCTTTATGAACGTTTTGGGTGAATGGACTTTCATTTGAGGGACAGAAATCTCTCAGATTTCATTAAATATGCTCATTCGTGTTACGAAGATGAACGAAAGTCTTATGAGTTTAAAACGACATGAAGATGAGTTAAATGATGACATTTTTTTAATGGATTTTCATTTTTGGGTGAACCAGACATTTAAGTATAATAAGTGTAATCTCATGGTAAAGTAACAGCAAACCTTTGATTTGAGGAACCATTCATGTCTGTAAGAGGTTTGTTCAAATATCAAGCAATCGTAATTAAAAGCTTTTACTTGAATGGCTTCCACAAACATCTACTCTATGACTTCAATAATAAGCAATTAGACCGTCAGTGTCGTGTGTAACTGGCACTGAAATAAGCATGATAACAATGTTGAGTTTTCAAACACAGAACACACTGACCTTTGGGTTGAGGTCAAAGAAGCTGTGATACTTGAACCGGAGCAGAAGAACCTCGTTCTCCTTCACATCTTGTTCCATCAGAGATCTGGAGGAGTCCAGCCACCTTCACAAACACATTCAGAGGAACACACATTAAAGGGATAGTTCACCCAAAAATTAAAATTAGCCCATGGTTTACTTAATCTTTTGGGAGAACGATCCCTTTAAACCCTGAATCACAGAGTCTTCACAGATCAGATCTGCCCCAACTTACCCCTGGTTGATCTTGGCCTTGTCCAGGAGGGACTGTGGTTTGTACATCTTGACCAGAATGTCTGGTGAGGTGATGGGCTGGCTGACAGCGAGGATGCTGGGATTGCCTTCGGACAGGGGACTGTCTCCAAACCAGGCCGTGGTGGGGGACAGCGGGCTGCCGTCCCGAGAGTCATAGGTGGGCGTCATGGTCTTGCTGTAAAGTCCGGGACTAGAATAGATGCTCCCTGAAATTAAACACGACCATTAGTAAACGCCTAAAACAGGCGGCACCCCATTCTCACGAAAAGCCAGACGGAGACTGGGCAGAATGACACATACATAGGGCTGTGAAACGATTAATCGCATCCAAAATAAAAGTTTGTCTTTACATAATATACAAGTCGAAAAATTAGAATATCGTGCAAAAGTAATTCAACTTAAAAGGTGAAACTAATATATTATATAGACTCATTACATGCAAAGTGAGATATTTCAAGCCTTTATTTGTTATAATTTTGATGATTATGGCTTACAGCTTATGAAAACCCCAAATTCAAAATAGTCATCAAAATTATAACAAATAAAGGCTTGATATATCTCACTTTGCATATAATGAGTCTATATAATATATTAGTTTCACCTTTTAAGTTGAATTACTGAAATAAATTAACTTTTGCACGATATTCAAATTTTTTCGAGTTTCACCTGTATGTGTACTGTGTATAATTATTTTGTATATATAAAATTACACACACATGCATGTATATATATATATATATATATATAAAAAAAATTGCATTATATTATAATACATATTTTATATACAAGTTTTTTTTTTAAACTATATACATGCATGTGTGTGTAATTATATATACAAAATAATTATACACAGAACACACAAATAAATGATGTAAAAAAAAACAACACTTTTAATAAAACAAACTTTTATTTTGGATGCGATTAATTGTTTTACAGCCCTAATACATTACGCAACGACAGAAATGTGCCAACCAGTAGAGTACGATTTAGTTTTGTAAACATGATGGTTATTTGTGCTCTTCAAGCAGTTGCAATTTGACCCTTCACATGTCCGGGGGGCTCAGAAGGGGAAGTTATCATAGTTGTGTGTGTGTAATCTTCTTTAGTAATGAACGGAAACTACAAAAAATATATAGCAAACTAAAAAATCCACAATGTCTATGATTTTACGAAACAGGAAAAACACTGAGAGATTGATTACATTGGTTTGAAGAGAGAAAGATGTTAAATTTGCCGTCATTCCCTCAGCCATTTTATTAGAAACACCATCTAACTAGTTTTCTGTAATTTAATGCAATTTAAAGTAATACAACACAAAACAGAGTAAAAAAATGTACATTATTTTTAAAAAAAAGAAAAAAATATAGAAAAAAGCTAATTTACGATAACTGTGGAAATGCATCATCACAGTCTGTGAAAAAAAAGTCAATTTATGTATAAAAAGGCTAGATAGAGAGCATGTCTTTGCTACATATTGCCATTTTGAGTGTCTAATATAATGTTTCTACACTGAAAAATACAATATTTTTTGGTTTGCCTCCATTATATTCTGAATAAAAAGAAAAGAATTGCAGATTATAATATTAAACTAGATTAAATTGACATTTTTACATTGTTATAAAACAAAACATTTGAATTGGGCTGAATTTTTTTGGTTGCAAAAATAACTAGCGTTATCACAATAATTATTTAAGACTAAAGGTCATTCCACACCGAGTCCGAAATTCACGTCTGAAATTTTCGCACATTAAAAAATAAATACGACCTCACGTTTCTGTGACCGTTCACGTTTACACGCTGCCTCAGAAACTTTCGTCCCTCATAAAAATATCTGGATCGAGTCCGATTTTCTGCGTTTCCCGCATCCGTAGCAAACATTTTGAGAGGTGTTTGACTATTCAGAGCCATCAAACGACGAATACGAAACAACACACGCACACATTTCAGACTCAGTGTGTCATACAGCCCACTCCCAGCCGATATGTGTAACCAAATCCAACTGAACAATGCAATAAAACTGATGTTCACACACAATCATTCCCATGACTGTACATTTCTGATCAAGGCAGCATGCAGAACACAGTAAAACACAGAATTAAACGTTGCGAGTGCACAACCAGCAGCATGAGGGGTGACTGACATCATGAACCCAGAGATTAGGAGACAAGCATTCAGATGGGTCTCAGTGCACCAATCCAGCTGTTATCATCATCACAGGTTCAGTACATCAGTGCTCATCCTTCTTTAAACACTCCAGTCAATGCCTACAGGACAACTGGAGCAACTTCCCCCATCCTCAAACTGAACAGGTTCAGTTGGTTATTAAATAGAGACTTCTGGATGCTAACTGGTCAATGTTAAATGTGTATAAGCACCCATAGAGACCAACTGTAACCTTCATTTAGATGGCTAGGGCTAAAACGATGACACTTAATGAACAAGATTAATAAAACAAAGCTTTAATGTGTGTCCTAATATATGCGTATTATGTTGCAACCTTATATAATAGCACAAAGGTATTTTGTGAATATGATCACAGCTGAAGGAGTTGCACTTAATGAAGCGGTGTAGATTATTGTTCAAAATATTTGTGAGATTGTTTATTACTTTATGTATAATCAAAGTTCCTGAGCATTAAACATAGGCAAGAAAATGGTTTTTAAACACTTCAAAAAACTAGGAATATCAAAGCTGAGAAAAAATAACACATTAAATAATTTGAACTAACAACTGATGGAGAAAGGACTAATAAACTGCTAATTTATGGACAAAAGTGAATACTAGGGGTGTCCCCGACTAAGGATTTTCATAGTCGAATCAGATTCGTCAAGTCCTGCCTATAGTCGACTAATAGTCGAATCATGTGTGTGGTTTTAACATTTTAAAGCCGCGATCTACAGAACATCACACAAAGATATAGAAGAAAATGTATAAAAACATTTTGGATCAATAAAACTAAGAAATAACATAAATAACTGCAGAAAGGCCACACTGCAGATGCAAATCAAATCGGCTGAATTGCCTGTACGAGCATGCTCTAAGTAGGCCTACAGCGCAACATCGATGCACTGAAAAAAAAAATCAACAATTAAGAACACAATATACATTTATAATAAATAAAAATACAAAACGAAATAAGTCAGAATCAAGTCACAAGAAGCAGAACAAATGTGTGCAAAATGCCTAAAGTGCAGGGGAACCAATATTCAAAACACAAGTCACAAATAGTTAAATTAGATCACCCTGAGTGATCAATTAATAAAATAAAAATAAAGAAATTATTAAAATAAGGAAAGTATGGCCAGGATTGTCAACTTTGTCTTTTTAACTGCAGAAACAACAATAAACGCTAAACTGGAGCGGCAGTCTTTTTAGCTAAACGTGTTCACAGTATCCAAAAATCAAATTAGAACCGGCTGAAATGTTTTAAATCACTTGTACCCATACCTGATCGAGAAAACTAAATCCAGTCTTTCACTCGGCCTGTGTCCGTTTGAGTCTTTTCAAATTGTGTGCGCGGATAAAATACATTCTAAAACGCTTAACGTGAAAAACGTTTAACGGCTTTGTCCTAAAACTGTTATATTAAACGATCAAATTCTGTACACACCTTATTAATAAAGCATACTATATAGCCTACAGAAAAGCAGATGAGCCCAGAATATGAACGCAGCGCGTTTTATTATTATAGGCTACGTTAAGCATTTTCCTCCCATAGAAAACCGTTAAAGAAAAAGCTTTACGTGACTTTCTATAGGAGAAACGCGTTGCGTTCATATTCTGGGTTCATCTGCTTATCTGCACATGGAATGGTTAAGGTGTGTAGCCTACTGTGTACACATACATTAAGCACGTAAAAGTGCCATTTAAGCGTTTTAAAAGCTTTTTTCACGTTAAGCGTTTTAGAACGTCCCAAGGAAAACCAACCTGTTAACTTTGGCCGGCAGAAGTGCGATCATGGTTTTCCTGATGCTAAATCCAGCCTTGGAGAATATCCTTTCTGATGGTGTGCATCTTTAGATTTTCTTATCCCAGACATTTTTAAAGATTTAAATCCCTGCCGACAAGACGCTCCTCTGTCGCTCACGGATCGAAAGTGAAACTTAAATCTGTCACGGGGTGTTTGGGTTTATTCACGCTGCACGCACGTTAAAAAATATTTATTAAAAGCTTCTTTCTTTGCACATTTTTATTGAGAGCATTATCATAATAGGCTGTATATTAACTGACAGAAAACCAGTAGTTCTATGTGAAATCAGACATTGAGCACACTCATATAGCCAAAATGACATAATCCTCGTTTAATAACACATCTGCGAAGATTCGACCGTGGGATCGGTAGTCGAATCAGGCTCCTCCTATCGAAGCATCGAATCTTCGACTATTCGGGGTCACCCCTAGTGAATACTTTTGTACTTTGTGTGAAGCAGAATTATCATCTGACCCAAGGGATCAACAAAACACCTTTATTTTTTCCATTTCTCTTTAAAACAGGGCATTACTATGGAAGCTTGTTTCTATGGAAGGTTGTTTCTGCCACTGAATAAAAAAATAATTGCGATTTTTTCTCTCACAATTGCAAGATATGAAGTCACAATTCTGAGAAATAGTTGCAATTGCGAGAAAAAAAGACAGAATTAACAGAACAGAATAACTATATAACACATAATTGCGAGTTTATATCTCGAAATTCTGACATCTTTTCTTAGAATTGTGAGAATTGTGAGAGCAATTGCGAGTTATCAGGCCAATTCTAAGGGAAAAAAAGACTAACTTTTTCCCCCTCAGAATAGTTTATATCTCGCAATTCTGACTTTATATCTCGCAATTCTGACTTTATATCTCGCAATTCTGACTTTATATCTCGCAATTCTGACTTTATATCTCGCAATTCTGACTTTATATCTCGCAATTCTGACTTTATATCTCGCAATTCTGACTTTATATCACGCAATTCTGACTTTATATCTCGCAATTCTGACTTTATATCACGCAATTCTGACTTTATATCACGCAATTCTGACTTTATATCTCGCAATTCTGACTTTATATCACGCAATTCTGACTTTATATCTCGCAATTCTGACTTTATATCACGCAATTCTGACTTTATATCTCGCAATTCTGACTTTATATCACGCAATTCTGACTTTATATCACGCAATTCTGACTTTATATCACGCAATTCTGACTTTATATCACGCAATTCTGACTTTATATCTCGCAATTCTGACTTTATATCTCGCAATTCTGACTTTATATCTCGCAATTCTGACTTTATATCACACAATTCTGACTTTATATCTCGCAATTCTGACTTTATATCACACAATTCTGACTTTATATCTCGCAATTGCGACTTTATATCACGCAATTGCGACTTTATATCACGCAATTCTGACTTTATATCTCGCAATTCTGACTTTATATCTCGCAATTCTGACTTTACGTCTCGCAATTCTGACTTTATATCTCGCAATTGCGACTTTATATCACGCAATTCTGACTTTATATCTCGCAATTCTGACTTTATATCTCGCAATTGCGACTTTATATCACCCAATTCTGACTTTATATCTCGCAATTGCGACTTTATATCTCGCAATTCTGACTTTATATCTCGCAATTCTGACTTTATATCTCGCAATTCTGACTTTATATCTCGCAATTGCGACTTTACGTCTCGCAATTCTGACTTTATATCTCGCAATTGCGACTTTATATCACGCAATTCTGACTTTATATCTCGCAATTCTGACTTTATATCTCGCAATTCTGACTTTATATCTCGCAATTGCGACTTTATATCACGCAATTCTGACTTTATATCTCGCAATTCTGACTTTATATCTCGCAATTCTGAAAAATAAAGTCAATTACCTTTTTTATTTTTCATTCTGTGGTGGAAACAAGCTTCCATACATTACCTTTAGTTAAATCATGTTAAAAGAATGATGTTAAAAATGTGAATTCAGCAAATAAAAAATTCCACATAAATCTTTTTAAACTACTGGCAGCCCACACAAAACACCTTAGACATTATCACTAAAATCAGGTTGTGTGAGCAATAGTGCAATGCAAAAATAAACTAGCTGAGCAAAGATATAATTGTATGGGAAGATGCCATCATTCCTCAACTTTTTAAACTCGTTTACGGTCATAAATCAGAAAAGTTACACTACACACTTTTCTCTAACCACTCAAGTGACCAATCACAGAGCGAGTAAAACAGAAGCGTTGAAGCAGAGCCAGTGGGAGGCCGCAGTCGTGAAGAGCTTGAGGTCGTGAGAAAAGAGAGAGACATGAGGAAGGGCTCACAGGCGTTCTCAGAAACTCGAGGTCACTGGAGGGTTTCACTCCCATCGGGGACGGAGGAAGCCTGAGCATCAGCAGCGTTAGGATGTTTACTCGACTCTACACACTGTTTAGGAATGCTCAAAAACCCCAGTCCACAAACACACGGATGCTTTCGCTCACAGTCATGTCTGTAGGCACATTTAAAACAACGGAGTAAGTGTTCACTCGCTCATATGGCAAACTGTTTTGCTAATCGATTCGATGATTACAGTGTTTGCAAGGCAGCAGTGTCTTAGAAAGTCATATTATTATTATGATAGTTAGTTCTTCATATTTTTCCTGAAATTAATTACAGATTCTATTTGGTTTCATGGGCAATTTCAGCCTTGTTATTGTTTTTCATAAACTTTATACTTAAAGAATTTTTTACTAAAACTAGGAATATCAAAGCTGAGAAAAAATAATACATTTAATAATTTGAACTAACAACTGATGAACAAAAGGCCTAATAAACTGCTAATTTATGGACAAAAGCTCTATAAAAATGTTTGTTAGAGAGCTTTCGATGGAAAAAGCTGGATATATATGCCGGCTTTAGTTGAACGTACAACCATTGCCACGTCACCATTCGGTTTTGAAGTCTGAGGAACTGCAGATCACAATCATCAAATAAGTGTTTGCTTGTGAATCAGACTACACTGCTCACTTGTTTTTGAGTGCAGTCCACAGTACGCGAAAAAAAAAAGCATTTAGCCAATTTTTAATTGCATTTTCATGTCACAACTAAGAAAAAAAATTTTATTTTGTCTGAGGCGTTGGAGATTCGGCACCAATGAAACCAGTTGCTGGGGACATTCATCTTAGCCTTAAGAGCCACTGCACGTTTATTCCTCTGACTTCCGTTCACACACATGCCGATGTGGGAGACCGGAAACACAAGCTCATGCAAATTTCCTTGCTTTCCATAGTTCAAGTTTGGTCAAGTTTGCAAGATCGGCATGACCTCTTAGCAGAATTAAAAGAACGAAAGCTTTAAAGATCTGCAGTGTGGCACTAAAGTAGATCACATATATTTTTAAATTTTGGATACATTATATGCTAAATTATGTGTTTTTTTAAAAGACGCCACAGTGTGTGACATCATTATGACCGTTGCAGTGTCCATAGATATTTTGCATGCTCATAATGTGGCGGCAGCTTTAAGTGTGCATCTTATTTGCATACTGAGTGTTTTTTGCATTCACTTGCTTTATAAATGTGTGATCGGTCCTTTATTTTACTATCAACTTCCCTGTGTATTTGGCTTTACAACTTTCCTATCATTTGACTTTACCACTATTTTTTGGGTCCCACTTTATATTAAGTGGCTTTAAGTACTATGCACTTACATTGAAATTAATAATTTGATACAATGGATGTATTGTGTACATGCATGTTTTAACATTGTACTTATATTTTGAAAATACCTGCATGTAATTACAGCTGTAATTAAACTGTTGACCTTCCCTTACACCTTAACCCACCCATACCACACACACCTGTCCCTAACCTCACCTGTATCACACCTCAATAGCAGCACAAGTGTTTTACAATACAACATCCACACAATAAGTACATTCTACTTATTTTTCGATGTAAGTAAATAGTACTTAAAGCCACTTAATATAAAGTGGGACCCTTTTATGTTGCCTTGCAAGCACTGGTGTTTCCTTCCAAATGCTCCAATGAAATAAAATAAAAGAATTAAAAGAAAACCCGTTCAGTTTAAGCACATTTCCTCAGTTAAGCTCCTCGGGGAATGTTCCTATGCATCCGAATATGGTGGTGTTTTGTGTAAGCCTGTTTGTTTTTACAACCAGTGTGACGAGCTCCTGATAAAAGCTTGAATAATCAATATCACTATTGGCTGGGGTTAAAAAATAAAATAAAATGATATTTGCTGAAAAATCCTGACCTGAGCATCCCAACCGTTTAGTGTGGCTCCTTAACTTGACCTTTCATTCTTTTATCTCTAATTTTATATAGATTTTAGGACAAAGTGAGACCAAACTGTGAACCGATAAGCGAATGCAAGGGAATGCACTGTTTGGGCAAAAGCTCATCTCATGACCCTCGTCAGCTGAGGTGTCACTGAAGCAGAGAGTCATGTGACCAGAGCCAGGGATCCCTGCAGTGGTCATGTGACGTCTCCAGCTGAGGTGAGAGGAAGCAATGCGGGAAATCAGGAAAACAGGGAACCTTACCTTTTACCGGTCCAATGTATAGTATCTCAGAGGCTTGAGGAATGGGAGGAAATGTAGAAAAGAAAACAACAAAGAGAGAAAGAGGGGGAATGAAAGGATATATTAAAGAGATTAACAGCTTGGAGGAAAGGAAAGTGTTAACATGCAAAGTGAGACAAGACATTAGAATAGATGGAACAACCGTTTCAAGAAGAAAATCTTAACAAAAGTAAAGAAAGAAAAGGTCTCCTGTGGCTGCGTTTATTTGATCAAAAATACAGGCAAAACTGTAACGTTATGAAATATTATTACTATTTAAAATAACTGATGTGATAAGTTTTCAGATGTAATTTATTCCTGAATGTTCAGCATCATTACTCCAGTCTTCAGTGTCACATGATCCTTCAGAAATCACTCTAATATGAGGATCTGATGCTCACTTATTACTTATGGTCAATTATTAATAATTGTTCTTATTGATTACAGTTTTTCTTTTGCTACTTTATATTTTTTGTGTAAAACATGATACATTTTTAAAAAATAATTACCATTTTAAATAACTGAATATATGTGTGAATATATTGTAAAATATAATTTATTCCTGTGATCAAAGCTGAATTTCCAGCATCATTACTCCAGTCTTCAGAGTCACATGATCCGTCAGAAATCACTCTAATATGAGGATTTGCTGCTAAATATTGTTCCAAACTGACTGGTATATGGGACACCAAATATTTACCCTATTTTGTGTAAAAGTGACCAACAGTAGCACTGGAGAAAGTTCAGATCCCGAACACACATGAAGACAGAGCCTCTACTTCCAGAGCTGATTGTATCGAAGGAAGAAGAGAAAGGAACAAAAATACTCCTGTCCTACTCA